TTTGCAAAGCCCAAGCGCTCTTGTCGGTCGGTTTCCGTGCACGAGAACGCCACATTTGTGATTGTCCCCTAGGGGTCTATACTACAGACCGAAGAGAAGCGTTCACACGACCTCTGCCTGGGTTGTGCCTTTAACTCAACAACCCCACATGATCGTGTCCAACAACTTATCCTGTGGATAAGATAGAGTCGCGAGTATCACAGTTGTGCCGTTGTCGCGGCTCGAAAGGGCGCGACAATGGCGCCGGGTCCTTACAAAGTGGCTAATACTGTTCAATGTGAGCTAATGGACGAGATATCTCGTGCGTTCCCATGACACGCAGCGTGGATTATGACGCAGCGCCTACTTTGAATACCGCGCATCAATAGAGCCATGGAGCAAGCAAGTCCAGACAACTCCTCCTGACAACCCCTTCCCTTATTCAATAGATAAGAGAGGAACTCCTTGTTTTAAGGAAGTGATTACGATAAAGAGGGAGCGCATCGGGGAAGCACCACACGAATCAGTTACTTGGCTGCCAGGGAAGCGAGGTGTAGCGCTTTCACGACGAAAGGTGCGCTGGTTGCTGAGCAGGACTTCGAAAGCACTCCGCCCCCAAAAGCGATCCGCCCAGTTTACTTGGTGATTTGGACGAGCAGCGGCACAACTGGATAAGTGTGGCTCGGCATGGTGCCACTTAACGCATTGCGATAAACCGCTTTGTGAAATCTGATGTGTTCATGAGTGAAATACGACCAAAAAAAGGGTCCCGTTTTGCGTTTTCTTGACGGATTTCTCCGCTTTTTTCGCCACTGGCGTACCATTGAGCACCACCACGTCTCCTCTAAATCTCTCTCGAATCTATCGCAATCGCTCTCTTCAAGGGCTTTTTTCTGTGGTTTGCTTCGCTTCTTTTCTTGTACTTATCTCACATCCAAAATTCTCTTATCAACCCTCTTACCCCACCTATTTGCTGGAATTAGGAAATTAGACTCGTAGTATCTAGATCATTTCCAAAAGATTTGCAGGTGAGCGAAGAGCTAAAGCTCGGCAGCCTTATACAACTGATTACCTTATGGTGGGATATCCCGGGATTAACAAGCGATTTCGTCTTAATGGCTAACGGAAAAGTGCTTCCATTTGACGAAGACGCTACACTACAGGTACTTTGACACTATCTTATTTTCTCATTACATATTTATACATATCCGCTAATTAAGGAATGCGGTATAAAGGATGGTGAGAGATTAGCGCTGAAAGAAAGGAAAAAGTCTGATACCCTCTGTACCACCGTATGTTCGAAAGACAACATTGGCTTATCTGAGCGCTGTAGGAGCACAACATATTTACTATTTTCGTTTTCGTGGCCATCGGAATGAAATTATTTTGAGGTTCCCTGACGGCAGAGCAGAAATTGGAAGAGCAGTTTGTGTCATGGAAAAAGGGGCGAAGTCTGGACGAGTTGAGAGCTTTTAATTTCTTCATTAACATCTCGTTGATCTATTGCTCAAATAGTGGTTTCCAGACGCCTGCGAAGAGCAGTAGCTGCATTTCCTGAATGTTTTACTAAGATTCCATTGCTATATTTACGATGTCGTTTGAATGGAAAAGATGTGCTTGCATTAGTTGACACAGGTTCAGAAATAGTCGTTTTTTGTCTAAAAATTATCAAAAAACTGTTACTTTTCTCTCCCTACCCCTACCCTCCATAAAATTCTCGCATATTTCAGTCGTACAAAATGCTAATTTTTGGACTGACTCCAAAAAGTCTTGCATGTATAATGCTTGACCCCAAACCTTGACAAAACTGATTCTTGCACTAGAAGTACTGGTCACCATGGTATAAGCGTCTGTGTTGTGCTTCTTACCCACACCATATGGGCAATGGTGCAGCGCAACTAACGTCTAAAAAATTGAAATTTTTTTCCAAATTTGATCATGCACTGCCTACTAAGGCTGCATTTTGGAAAAATACTTATTTCCCAAACAATTTGCTTATTGAGCTATGACACAAGTGTGCCTGCGACTTGGTTTTTCAAATATTCTGTGAGTTTGAGACAGTCTCTTTCTCCACTGGCCTGCAACTTGAAAATTAAAGTGTCCAATTTTGACCACCTCTACAGGCGCCAGCCATGTGAGAGCTCACGAGCAGATTGCTAGCAAGCTACTTTTTTTTCTTTTCTGAACTGATAAAAACATCACCTTCCCACAGCCTATTAGGTTGAGGAAGGATATGTGAGCGCGCTCTCTATTTCCCTCTTGACAGGTGTTGTGTGAAAAAAACGTTTTGAAGCAACGATTCAATGTGGCAAATAGCGACCACAATTACTTTTTTTGTGGGATGAAAAGCTTCGAATAGAGAGTGCGGCGCTGTCGAACTACAGACTGCCTATTTAAGATATAGTTTACTATTCTCACGCACTCTCTGGCTAGCAAATTAAAATTCTATGCCACAAAAATGTCACACACTGATACTGCGAAGTATTCAGGTTGCGCAGTACATCCAATATTTCCGATGGAAGCATGTGTAAGTAAATGGCGACATGGTGATGCGTTGACGACGCGATTTCGTGTGATGGCGAACGGCGTTGGAGGCACGCGATCATCGCTTGGTCGCATTCTTGCATGTTAGTTTTCCTTGATTGAGAGTGAGTGCTGCTCCGAAAAAAGCGGAAGAGAAAACCACTTCGAAAGTCGATAGGCAGAAAAAGTTAGGACCCGATTTCTGATGCAAATAGTCTAGCGCGTTCGGGGGGGGGGGGTGCTTCGTGATGACCCCCTCCCCCACCCACCGCTCGATTACGGAAGCATGGAAAAATTGTTGTCTGAAATGACACGTTTCCGGCCCTGTAAGCTCTAGCAGAAACAACAGCGCTCACCAACCTTTTGATTGCTATTTAAATGATCATGAAAAGTCACCGCCAAATATGCTTATTGCTCTTAACAAAAATGTTCTTATAGGTGACGTGCAGATAGCTGCAATGAGCATTCTGTGTTCATTCGATGTGCTGCCTTCTGACGTCCAAGATGCTGATGTTATTATTGGCCTTGACGTTCTTTACTAAGAACCAAGCCGTTATCAACATTTCGGTAGGTGATTTAATTTTTATTTGTTATCCCTACTACTATCATAATTCGCTAAGAATTTCTGTGTGTGTGCCTGTGTGTACGTTCCGTCCGTCGATTCACGAATTCATAGCGCGCTTCGCTGCAGCATGGAGCGCTGTTTTGTATGATGTAGGGGGTGGGACGGCAACATATTTGGTGGGGTCGGAAAGTGATAACGACTGATAAGATCTGATAAGAGGCGCTGAAACGCAAATTTCACGAAATTCATAGCGCGCGTCCCAGCAGCAGTGGGGCGTTGGTTCCAAGAAGTGATGTACAGGGTGGACGGGAACATGTTCGGTGGGGTACAGGAAGTGATAAGGGCCGATAAGGGCCGATAATTACGATATTCGTAGGAACATAGAGACCATTTAAAACCATATTCTAGATAACGCATTTCACTTCAGTATCATCTCATTGCGTTGTTGTCATCAACATAAAATACCGTTCGACCGCTACAATCCCAAAGTCCCTAAGAATGTATGATGGATGTTTAGCGATATACGATAATGGGTATTTCTATTGCAAAATCATTGGCATCAATATTATTCGACCGCTAAATCATCCTGACATCCAATGCATGGTGGCTGTTTACAGACACCACTTTAGCTCCGCACTCCACCGCGCGTATCAGACGGTTGGTTAAAAATGGGCATTCTGTAGAAGGCCAGCTAACGCATTTCACGAAGCAAGTTATTGTTTAGCGGCGGAACCTAACGCTCCACCGGCTGGCCAGCTTTACGGAGCCCTTCCGTGTCATGCACGCGGTAGTGTGCGGAGCTAAACTGGTACGCATATTTCAAAAACTCAAAATTGGAACGTCTAGAGCTTAGTCCCACTTTAGAGGATCCTTCCCGGAAAAATCTTGCATTCTTTCTCAACACGCATATGTCAGTGTGATCACTAGAGACAACATACAAAGTTTCACGCACAAAGATTCAGTTTCCGAAGAGAAACAAACTTACAAAAACCACACTCTATGGACAATCGAAGGTAAGTGGCGCGGAGCCAAAGGCGGGGCATGGAAAGAAGTCCGCCTTGGGGCGGCTACGTATCAGGCGACGCAATGAAAGAATCGGGTTAAAGCGTGCGATTTTGGAGAGTAGAGACAAATCGAATAGGATGGGTAGAAGTGTGAGATGTGAATGCAATAAGTCAAAAGGCCAGAAAGAGTTTCTAGTGACGGCACTCCGAAGAACCAAGTGGAAGCATTCCCGTCGCCAGCATTTGTGACAGATGTCCGGCGGTACTTTGAACGCGTAGCAGCCCCGGTTTTTCGAATTTTTTCCAAAACAAATGCAATTTTTTGTTCTTTTCGTTCTTATCGTGAACGATGGGTCTAAGCCAGTGAAATTATGGGTGGGATAGTAACACGATTTTTTAGGAAAGGATTCCTTCATGAACAGGCGTCCCGACCATTAGGTGGAGTCACAAGAAATTCTGATTCAAATAGCGATGTTCAAACTATCACTGCTGCCCACATTTATATTCTATCAGTTCTGCTCTGCACGTTATCGCGCGCATCCCACAGGGCTTCAGCGAAGCTGAATATGGCCTGGCTATTGTATTTGTAACATACTGCTTCAATGGGTTTGACTGGTGGTATTAACGAGAGGTGACGACAGCAATAATTCTCTCATAGATCGTCAACACCCATAAACATCCATCATTTTCCTAGTTCTAGCACAGTCTAGCGGCCTAGCGAGCTTTGAATAACTATTACAATTTCTTGGCTTGCTTATTATCAGCCCTCAGCTTTACTACTCTACCGCCTTCACCGCTAAGCCATTCCAACCCAACATGCTTTGCATGTTGAGATGGTTTTCTATGTATCGGCCAGACAAACCAAAACAAAGAAACACCATTGGACAGGCAGAAGTGCAAAAGACAGCTTGGTAGATGTTGGACAAGGAAAACGAATTTATCTGTGTCCACAAAGCCAGATGCTACCGCTATTCGTGTCAAGGAAGCGTTTCTTGCGCAGTACCCAAAGCACTTGATAGGGAAGCTCGGACTGTATGTTTAGGCCAAGAATTCTTGATGATCACATCGATTTTTAGGAGCGAACAATACGATTTGAGAAACTCGGATGTGCTTCGTTTGTTGCTCCTGAGGAAGCCGAAGCGTTTAAACCCTTTTCCGAAACTACAAATGAGTGCAGTCAGATGCGAATAAACTGATGTGTGCCACCATACACTATTGCCTTAATGAATTTAATTTACACAACAGTCCAAATGGATTTTTCAGACAACTAGTTGTAGTTAAAGTAAGAGCAGTGCTTACCTATTTACAATATCCTCTTCAACGATGAGGTTGTCCCATAAGTAGCGGCCCTCTTTTTCAACATAAACTTCTCAAAATGCGCTTACACATCATGTCATACACCATTCGGCAACGGAGCGAAATTAGGCAACCCGGGAATTTTCTACAACCCTATTTTCTCCTGGGCGCCTCTAGGAGAAATCGGCCAATGAGTAGCTTCTACTCAGTCGCGACGTCTTCTGAACATTCCGTCTCAGGCCAATGTCAGACTTTGCAAATCGAGCAATTCTCTTGTAACGATTCGCTGGCATCCGCATCGCGCTGCACTATCAGCCAATCGAGCAATTCGCTGGCCGCGCCGAAACCGCAAGGTTACGCACGATTCAGAAAGTGTGACATTAGCCATGGGGCTTCCCGAAGAGGCGTGTCGTTCCTTTTCAGAATTAGTTTTTCCTCCAGAACTTGACGGTTAGGCACTATCGCATTAAACCTACTCCAACAATTCTGAATCTGAGGCCTAGAACTAGTGGAATGTTAAGAATATGAAGTCGTGGCGATCAATTATAAATTTATAAATGCCTGATTTTTTATATTTTATTTAGTCTAGGGGAAGTTTCCTTCTTGAGAAGAAAATGTGGACATCTTCGTGAAGGTGCCCCACCTTATCACGTAGACATACGACCCAGTTCATAACGGAAATAAACGAAGACAAATGGCTGAGTAGAACAGTGAAGAAGCTCCTGAAGATGTATCGCTTGATATAAAACAATGAGATTTCAGAGAAAAATTTCAGTTCAAAAACCGCTGCTCAGCAATCAACCAAAAACACTGATTGGAAAAGCTTCGACAAGGCTATTTCAACAATCTCATAGCAGAATGTTCAGTAAGGTGGTGACACTGAAGAGAGTGCACCGCTGATGGGCTTCTTTTAGGATGGTAAAGAGTTAGTGAGTTGTCGGTTTGGCAGATACACACCGACAGTATTTCCCATTTAGTAAGCCTCATTCACCGTGGGCAAGATTCGAGGTATTTGCAAAGAATCGAGATGCGATTGGGGACAATGCGATTTTTCGCGTGTTTGCCGCGTGGGACCGCGCCTTTTTGATATTTTCGAAAAATGCGTCATAATGCAGGAAACCACCTTCACCAAAAATGTTGAATCTAGAGAAACTGTTGAGTCTTCGCACTTCCCAAATCTTTGCTGATCGCTCCTGGAATGATTGCAGATCTTTTCTTCTGGGCAAAGACTGATTAAGCAGCAAGCCGAAAATCTCTTTGAAAGGGAAGGATTCCGGACCAGTGGAGAACTTCGCGCACTGTCATTCTATTCAAGAAGGGTGACAGAGAAGATCTTCGTAATTACCGACCAATCAGCTTGTTGAGCGTGCTCTACAAGCTCTTTACGAAGATCATTCTAACGCGCATCTCGAGTACACTGGATGAAGCGCAACCAGTAGAGCAAGCTGGGTTCCGCAAGGGATTCAGCTGCATGGACCACATCCAGACTGTCGTGAGAGTAATAGAGGTCTGTCGTGAATACCATATGCCTCTCGTTCTGACCTTTGTCGACTACGAGAAAGCCTTTGACAGCGTCGAAACGAACGCCATCCTGTCAGCGCTGGTCGACCAAGGAGTGGAGTCATCCTATGTTAACATCTTAGCTGACTGTTACAGACACTGCTCAACGACGCTACAACTGTTTGACCGTCCTTTAACCATCCCCATCGAGAAGGGCGTCAGGCAGGGCGATACTATCTCGCCGAAGCTGTTTACCGCGGCGTTGCAGTGGATCATGAAGTCGCTCGACTGGGACGAGAGGGGCATACGAGTGGATGGAAAATTCCTATCCAACCTTCGATTTGCAGACGACATCGTCTTATTTTCGAATTCTATCACTGAAGCAGAGACGATGCTCAACGAACTTAACGAAGCTGGAAGTAGAATTGGACTACGAATCAATCGGAAGAAGACACAGTTTATGAAGAACTCCTGGTGCGAAGAACATCACATGACGATAAATGGTTTGCAGATACTGGAAACCAATTCGTACGTGTACCTAGGACGCTCGATAAACATGAACAATGATCTCAAGGAGGAACTGGACAGGAGAAAGAGAGCGGGCTGGTCTGCATTCGGGTCTATCAGAGAGGCCACTGACCATCTTTCAGATGTAGACCTGCGAGCCCATCTCTTTGATCAAACAGTGCTTCCTGCGCTCTGTTACGCTGCAGAAACGTGGGCCGATACGAATGCCACCACGAATACGCTTCGAGTAACGCACAGAGCGTTTAGAGAGGTGTCTTCTAAAATACAACAGGCGCTCACAACATCGAGCAGGACTTCGTAGTTCAGATATGAGGGTGATGTCTCGACTCAGAGATCCTGTGGAATACGCTTACAAGGCAAAACACAGGTGGGCCGGACATATCATGAGGAGAACTGACGACAGGTGGACGAGAAGGACAATAGAGTGGATCCCTAGAGACCACAAGCGTCCTCTAGGGAGACCACCTATTAGATGGGCCGACGTGTTCGTTAACGTTCTGAAGTCCGCTATGGAAACTCGTGGCCGTCAAGGAAGAAAGGTATCGTGGATGACGGTAGCGAGAGGACGAAACGAATGGAATCTGTGCGGTGGCTCGCACATGGAGTGAAGACGAGCCATCTAAGTATCTAAGTATCTAAGTATCATAATTTTGGAAATTATGTGCAAAAGAATTATCTCTATGCTAAGTCCCCACATCAAGCCGCATTGTCCCACGACATAAAAAATTGCGTCCCCACGCCTAGCCGCAATATCGCTAATGGTTAGGTGCTTCAGATACGAAGTAGTGTCCACTATCAGAACATGTCTCGAATTGCTCGAACATCTTCAGCAGATAGCTCCCGCTGCTGTAGGAAAATAGAGCCATGGTCAGAGAAGAGGGCTAATTGTGAATTGCGATTGCTGACAAAATTGGGGTCATTTTCCCGACAGATCCCATTACACTCTTATTCGAAAGCGCTGAATGATCGGTCTTGGAGAAACAGGAGTCCTTGTGGCCATTCTATTCTATGTTATTTCTAAAATCACTTCACTGTTGATCGCTACATGTTCAGTTCTATTACTCGCTGGATTACTTATCCGGTAATTTTATGAGATTTCGTCTATTTTATACGGTAGTGGAGTAGCTTTTTCGACTCACCATCAGAATTGGTGAATCACATGCGCTCAAGTCAGCACAGGGCAAAAGAGGGGAGGTTTAAAACGAAAGGTTACGATAAAGTGTGTGTGCAGCGTGGAAGTACATGCACCAAAGCAGTAGTCAGGGGCCCAAGGAAACGAAATGTTGCGTTTTTGTGGTCAAAGGTGCGCTAGCTTGCAGCGTACAAGGCTTGCCATTCCTTTCTGAGCCCCGCCACGCCTGTGCTCCGCAGCAGCGCCTTCGATTATCATTTTGGTGAGGTATTCCGGGTGAGGCTTTGAGCGCGTATCCTATAACTTTCTATGGAACGCGTTACCAATCAAAGCATGGCCTTTGCTGATATGATATTGGCTATCGGTTCAACATGTGCAAAAACCTTTGCTAGCTCGTCCATTATCGGAGGTCAACGGGCAAAGAAAGGGGTCCCATTTTGCGCGGATTTCTTTGCTTTTTTTCGCCACTGGGGCATTATTCAGCATCTCCACTTCCACTATGAACCCAGTCCAATTTTATCGTAATCCCTCGCTTTACCTATGATCGACTGGTTTGATTTACATGAATACAGTTAAGAAGTTGTGTTTCATCTCTTAGCATTAGAGAAAATAGCACTCGGAGTCCAGGTACCATTCGAAAATCGTCTACTCATAGAAAAGTCCCACCAAAGTCGGGCGTCCGCTTGTACGGTACAAAAGAGGGACTTGTATTTAGCAGGAGAAGCGGGAAGGGAGACGTAAGTGCCGGACTAGCATAGAAATCATAGTAACTTCCTCCTGTATCCGTTAGTCAAAGACGGAGTTGCGAGCCATGGAAAGAGGGAATGGCTCACCTTCCCGGGGATTTCCAGGCACGGGTACGGCGTAGCGCATCTCATAGCGGGAGTTTCTTGTGCTAATGTTCTTATGTGCGAGTTGCTGAAGCGAAAATTGCTTCAAAGCAGTTTTTGTGTCTCTGGACCAAACAGAAAACAGGGAGTGGCAGAAGAAAGAATCCGTCTTCAAAACCAATTTCTGGGACGCGGTTTTATATGAGATCAAATTTCAGAAAGCGACTACCTCAGGAATCTTGAAAATCTCCATAGGAAATGTCATGAAAAATGACCTAAAAGTGCAATGGGACTGTTGTTTTTGTATCAGTGTGTTTTCAGGAAGCGTGATCGCTAGCCGCAACTAAATAATGCCAGAATCGAGGCTGCATTTCTGGCAAAGCTGGCCATCGCAGCCAGCGCTGCTTAGAGAGCTTCTAGAGGTTTTGTTCCTAATTATACGTCATAAAGCATGACATCAACATTTGCTCGCCCGTGTGCCATGATCGGCAACGGAGCCCGCGAGTGTGGCTATCCTGGAAAGTGTCTGCCGGAACAATAATTTGACCATGAAACACTTGTCGTTGCGGATACTGCTGTGAACTAACGGCATAACCAAAATCTGAAAGCGTCTGATATTGCTACAACCTTTTTGGTGGGAAGTACTCACCAGGAAAGGCATTCAACTTCCCATGGAACTTTGAATGAGACCCAGATATATCGATAGAGCTTCAAACGCTGATTACAAATATGGAAACTAAAACTGCAAAATGAACCTGCCAAGGAAGTTGTGAGCAGTCAAAGTTGGCTGGAAGTAAGCGTTACGCCGTGCTAGCCTCCGGGCTTTCAAAGTCGCCGTGGAGTAGTGGTAGTGCTCTCAAAATTTGCACTCCAACGGAAGAGAACTTATGACCTCCGGGTGGAGAGCGAGGGCACTACCACTACTCCGCGGCGACTCTGAAAGCCTGGAACTAGCACGGTTCATATGTAATGCTTTACTTCCAGCCAACTTTGACTGCTCACAACTTCCTTGGCAGGTTCATTTTGCAGTTTTAGTTTCCATATTTGTAATCAGCGTTTGAAGCTCTATCGATATATCTGGGTCTCATTCAAAGTTCCATGGGAAGTTGAATGCCTTTCCTGGTCAGTACCTCATGGAATGGTAATGTTTTAGCATTCTATTATCAACACTTAACCTTATATTTCAGCCGCCTGGTCTGTGGAAAATCTTACTGGATCAAGCAAGGCATTCCTGGACCAAAGCCAAATGTTTTCACGGGGAACGCTACAGATTATGAAAAAGGATTGCACACAATAGATGAGAAGTGGATCGCAGAATATGGAAGCACCTATGGGTAAGTATAAATTGGTTCTTTCAGAAGAAACATTCACCAATAGAATGCACTTCCTTCTTCCAACATTCTTTTCAGTGATTTGAAATACTTTCAAATTTGAGATGATGTCACTGCATGAAATTCTTGCAATACATTCGGATCACCTTGTGTTAGCAACGGCTTGAGGGTAGCGAGCAGACGAGAGTCAGAGATGCGAAGTGGAGCAACAAGAAGTTTCGATTCCAGCTCAGCCCATTTTGTTGATGCTCCGCCCACCAAGAACATTTCACCTCCTCTTCTCCCTCAGCCACCATACAACTTTCATGGTGCATAGCATTCCCATGCAATATCAACAATTTTAGCACCAAATATTATTCGACCCCTAAATTATCCTGACACTCGACCCATTATGGTTATTTTAAAACATCACTTCAACTCCGCACCTCGCTGCGCTTATTAAACTGTCGACTGTGGTTAAAATGGGCAATGTATGCATTTAACGAAGCAACTCATTGTTAAGCGGTGGAACCTGACCGCTGCTCAGTTTTGCCGAAGCCTTCCGTGTCATGAGCGCGGTAGCGTGCGGAGCTGAACTGGTCATACATACAGACAAACCAAAACATCAAGGTTATAAAATAGAGTGGTAGTAGAAAGAGCATCACAGCAACTTAGCACTACATCCAAAGTTAGTTAGCGCAAGTCTTTCTTCTTTTAGTTCTGCTTTCTTTCTCAGCCGATGATGCTCAGCCTGGTCATCCTATAATCTCTAATCCCTCCACATTTTCCCCTTTTTTATGGCCCACCATGCTTGGTCGCCGCAGACCCATCAGTAGTTTGCTACATCATCGATGTTGGCTACTTTCGGGAACTGTTAAAGCGAGAGATTACGATAAAGTGCGTATGCAGCGTTGAAGTACATGCACCGTTGGAAGCACTAGTCAGGGGGAGTAGGACGTTTGATCAAGATTTCACACCTCCGTCTACTCGCACCTTGCCTCGCACATATGCAGAGTTGCCTGTGGGATGACCTCACTTAATTGCATGCGCTGCCTAATGACCCTTCTCTGTCAAGCAAACCACATCAAAGCAAAACAAGTTTATTAATGGAAGATTAAAATCGAACATAGTAATTTCATTATTAGTGGAAGAACTATTACAGAAATGAAATTATATAAAAAAACAAGAGGCACATGTCACAAATCACATCAAAAGAAGTTACTAGGGGAAGAACCGTCACATAACATGATCTTGTGTTTCAAAAATGAGTGATAGACAAATAACGAACAATTAATATGATCAACTTCAGTAAGTAGAGTGCAAAGCACAATTAAGATAAACAATTAGAGTACACTGGAATGAAGAATAAGTATGAAAAACCTCAGTACATAGCATCTAAAAATCAAATAGCAGTATTGGACACAAACCTAGACATCTTTATGCAGTATTCTTCTATTTGACTTTGGGTCGCTCCACTCTGATAAACTCCATCGAATCTGAAAGCAGTGTTTCATGCAAGCAAGACTATGGAAGAGGAGATCTTACTTAGCATACTTTTTCATTTCTTCCGCTATTTTTGCTCTTCTATTTTCATCGCGCTTTTGTAGCACCTTGGCATTTTCCGGGTCCTACAAGTTTAAGATTGGAAAAAGTGATTTTTGATAGTCATCTTCGAAATTCTAACCTCATGAAGGCGTTTAAGGCTTGCACGGGCTTCGTAGTTCAGCTTACGGAGGGCGTCTATGAGTACGCTTAGGGGTGGATGGTCCACAGTGATTAGAATTCCCAGGCGTCTGAAAAATTTGTAGAAGTATACTGTAGGCTCATATTCTATAATTGAACTTATTACCTGTGGAAAGCCTCGGCCAAGTTTGTTGTGCGCAGCTCTTCCAGATTCCGCTTACACCACATTCCTTTGAAGGGGCCCTCCATCCAGGTTGCGGAAGTATGCGAGGAATTCCTCACATTTCGTGTACGCGGCGTGTTCTCTAGGCACGGGAGGAGTTCTCAAAGCCCTAACTTGCGATAATAATGGCGACGGGAGAAACACCACACCTACAATAATCGAATAATATATGAAGTACGAAGAATGAAAGCTAACATTACCTTTCAATGTATTCCACCATGCCACGATGCGTTCGTCCTTCTCCTCTCCTTGGGTGTATCTTCTGAGGGCGAGTGCGTCGCGCTTGCGATTCCATGCTTGGGCGAGGTGGAATGCGCATCCCTCCACTGAAGCTCCGGGAAATTCCTTTCGTGCGGCAGTATAGTATAGTACATATGTGATTCTGAATGTGTAGCAGTGAAGGGAGAGGTTACAGGTGGAAACGTACATGTATAGAAAGGAAGCGATGGCGTCTGCGTAGCGTACGGATCTTCAGCAAAACGTACAGAACTAGTGCACGTGGAAAAGCCCTGGTAGGAAGAGTCGGAATGAAGTTCCTGAAACATGCTTCAAAGGGTGTCTAACGAACACAGAACGAGCAGTGCCTTAGTGCGTCATCTAGCCATCCTCTTTAAATACTCCCTCGAATGACCTTTTCGGGAGTTACTAAAGAGTTATTAAGGTCATGAGAGTACTTGCGGTGATATTTAATGAAATTAACTTCCCTGGAGGCGGCCAACGATATAGGCACTCTTAACACAGCGACCTATATATGAGTATTCCAAACACAAATGACAATCCGCTGAAGGTTAGCTTCAACGGTTCACCGATGTATTTATTCTGTTATTTTGTTATTCAGTTCACTTTTTTTCCCATCAAGGCTGTTTTTACTCAGCTTAGTCCATTTTCCATGTATGTGACAAGGGAACATTTTTATGTCCATGACAGCTCAGTGGTTCAGGTTTTATATGAAATTTATTGAAAGCATCCATGGATTTCTGCCTGTTACAATGACTGTTTTTGTCACCCTTCACTATGATATAGTTTTTTTTTCAATTATTTTGATGTGATTTACAATGACAGAGAAAGGTCATCAGGCAGCGCATGCAATTAAGTGAGGTCATCCCACAGGCAACTCTGCATATGTGCGAGGCAAGGTGCGAAGTAGACGGAGGTGTGAAATCTTGATCAAACGTCACATACCCCTAGTCAGGGGCCCAAGGAAACGAAATGTTGCGTTTTTGTGGTCAAAGGTGCGCTAGTTGCAGCGTACAAGGCTTGCCATTCCTTTCTGAGCCCCGCCACGGTCTGTGCTCCGCCCCCAGCAGCAGCGCCCTTCGATTGCCAATGTGACGAGATATTCCACTTCCAGAGTGTATCCTATAACTTTTCATGGGATGCGTGATCAATCAAAGCATGATGCTTGCTGAAATGATAGAGGCTATCAGCATAACATGTGCAAACGACCTCCTAATTGGTTGCTAGCTCGTCCATTATCGGAGGTCAACGGGCAAAGAAAGGGGTCCCATTTTGCGCCTTCTTGACGGATTTCTTTTGCTTTTTTCGCCACTGGGGCATTATTCAGCATCTCCACTTCCACTATGAACCCAGTCCAAACTTATCGTAATCCCTCGCTTTAACTAGTGGTTTGATTAGTTTGGAAGTACACACAATCTGTGGAGTTTCAGCGACAGTCGTCACATATTCTCAGTTTATTATTAATAAATCTTTATTTATTTACCGGTTTGGCTCCGCTCGCTACCGCGCGCACGTCAGAGAAGCTCCAATAGAACAGAGCATAGCTGGGCACTACTGAACGTCATGCGTGTTTTCAATGGATCTGACTGTTGCTAATAATGAAAGGTTAGTAGAGTGCTAGCGATAAAGCAACATAGTAATTCACTTTCATTTCATACATTCATTCATCAAAATGTCCTGTTCCGCTATCTTCGTCTTACCTATTGGAAGCACCGCCTCATTGCTGTTGAACCACGCGTTATAAATTTTGCGGAGTTCTAGCGCCCCTCACCAGCCCTTACCAATTGTTGTCATGTTTTCTACCCATGTGCTCTTCTCCTGCTTCTACATCATATCTTGAAATCAGCTCCTGATGGCGGATCCGCACGCTATGGATTTAGTTACACTTGCGTTCTACCCGCTTCTTGTCAGCCCTTATCAACTGTTATCGAGTTCCTCCCTTACCAAATATTTCCGTGGGTGTCGGTCCACCCCTTTATTATATCTTGAAATCAACTCCTGAAGAGCGCTGGTGCGTGGTCTATGAATTTCCGGTCAAAAACATACAGACCAAAAGACACACTTGGCTGATTGTATATAGTAGGATTTATTCATTTTTGCACAAAATATGTACTTGCAGTATGTTCCTGATGTCTTCACCTGAGTTGGTTTCGATTGATCTGGATATTCTTAGACAAGTCCTCGTGAGAAACTTCGACTGCTTCACGGACCGAACTGTGAGTTAGTCTGGAATTACCATGAACTGTTCTTAGCTCCCCTGCAAGGGGGTCTTTCAGGCCGCACTTTTTGGAAATAGGTTTTGCATATTGTAGGGACGCATGTATGGACCACAAAACCATGTTTCGTTTTCGCTGAACGGTTTTAGTAGTATCAAAAAAGTGGTGAATGATACCCTTGATGGTTCGATCCCCCGCGGCGACTAAATTTTGCAATCAAGGTTGGCGGCCACTTGTTGGCTTCAAAATGGTCCTGACGATGAAGTTGACATCTTTTTTTGAAATTTAGCGCGATTTGACCTTGTGCTTCCTTTTGGTGCTGCTAAGACCCTTTAGCGAAAACAAAATGTTTTGTGTTCCATACATGGACCCCTACAATATGCAAAATCGTGAAAAAGCGTGGCTTGCCAGACCCCCTGTTAGCTAAAGTTCAATAAGCGGGAATACATGAACGAACACACAATGTGCGTGACTTGAGCGATATGGTTGCAATGTTACCTAGTTCCAGAATCTCCTGAACGTTGATCCTACTGATCAGACATCATTACTGGCTACTTCGCTGGTCTCATTGAAAGGACTGCATTGGTTCAATGTTCGTAGTCTTGTGGCACCTGCGTTCTCCACTGGAAAAATCAGACTGGTTCGACTTGCTATTCGACTTGAGTGTATTATTAGCAGCAGAGCTTCGCCGTATTGCAGCACTGGACTATTTCAGATGGTGCCAATTTTCAATGAGTGTTCAAAAATCTGTATAGCAATAATTGAGAAATACGCACTGGATGGCAGACCGGTGCCTATAAAAGAGTGAGTGGAGAAACTGGGTAGATTTCAGATTCGAAATCATTTGAAAACAGGGATAAGTCCGTTTCTAACGTCCCTTTGAGATGTTTTGAGCTCTTTGATTCAGTGTCATTACTCGACTCACGCTGGATATGACGGCCAGATGTGCATTCGGTTACGATTTCAACGTGCAGCACAACACAGAGTCGCCATTTATCAAATTCGCTCAAAAATTCTCTGAAATGGATCTCCGCTCTCCAGAGATAGCACTAGTTAGTGAGTGTCTGCTTTCGATGGTGCTAGGTCACTGTAGGCTTTCGTTGCCAAATCCGCGTTGTCTCGCACCCTTAGAGTGCCGTCTTCCTCCCCAGAAGGTTGACTCCCCCCTTTTTGACCTCCGCGTTATCGTGGAATCCTCCTTTAAGCCATTTTCAGGGCTTAAAAGACGAAACGGTCTGAACGTTAGTCGGAATGCATTTTAAGCAACAACTTCAAGGCACTAGTATAATTAATTAGCGACGGTTCAAGAGGAGGGGACTTGGAATAGTGAAGTCTATTGTGAAGGAGGAATTCACGATAAGAATGAAGATCAAAGAAGGAGTATTTCATCTAGCTGAGAGACTGACGGTCTAGCTGAGAGACTGACGGAACTACCTGTGGGTGTGGACTGACGCACAATTGGCACCGAAAGATTTGACCTCGGCGATCTAGCATGGCTCATTCTTGGCGCGGTTGGCGGGGTACGCCCACCGACCATCTAATCACTCGCCGCAGGTCTATACGTGGCGAGTGATTAGATAGCAGAGAGCGTAGTGTTGAAGAGGGCACAGCGATGAGAGTCGCATCAATGCGCAAATCAACGGGCAAGGAAGGGGTCCCATTTCTCGGGTTCTGGGCCGTTTCTCATGGTTTTTCCTTCTTTCGTGTACCACTCACCATCCCTAGGTTAATTTGAAATGGGTTGCTTTTTCATCGTGAATTCTGTCCTTTAAGCCGTACGATAGGGCACTGCTTCAAGATCAGTATCGAAGACATTATTGAAAATCAACAAAAATCGGGCTCCATCACTCCCATAGGCTATTTCTGTGTAAGGGTATTGTCCTGTTTTAGAAGCTTTGTTCGGATGCGGAGGAAATAGAAGCAATTTTAAGGATCAAAATGTGAAGAGAGGCACGGAAACATGTTATGGCTACCTAGTTACCTTTGTGGTAGACATCGTATAGGGATGGAAACAGTACAACAAATATCGGCAACCGTACATGGCCTCCTATTTGCATTTCAGCACTGCAAAGAATACATGACTGGAAGAGAGGATGTAAACAATATTCGTTTTCTCTGGCGTTCCTCCTCCTCCTGAACTCAGCCCTCAGGTACTCTCTCTCGAGCCTATTTTGGATGTTTCCCCCACGCCCCCCCCCCAAAATACTGCTGACTTATATAGAGTAGGACTGTACCGGTGCCGGAAAAACAAAATCTGCGCCGTTTGCAGCTTTGAAGGCAGGGTTGCGAAAGTTGCGCTGGTTGCTGAGCAGGACTTCGAAAGCACTCCGCCCCCAAAAGCGATCCGCCCACTAGTTTAGTTGGTGATTTGGACGAGCTGCGTTGCCAGCAACGGTGAACTCGTTCATACGTCCGCTTTCTAAGCTGTTACCTGTTCATGAGTGAGAACCAACGGCCAGAAGGGTCTCGATTGCGTTTTCTTGACGGATTTTTTTCGCTACTGGCGTACCACTGAGCACCACCAGTCTCCTATAAACCCTCAAATCCATCGTAATCACTGTCTCTGAAGAATTCATTCAAATATTATACATGGCAATTCATATTTTAACGGCATATAGCATGCAAAAGCTGGTGACGAACATGGAGATGAGCGTGTGCTAAATATTTAGAGGGTGCTCTATATCCAAAGAAAAGGAAAGCCGTGAAGATTGCTGTAGACTGGTTTTTCCTCTTATTTCAAAGCCTCATCAAAACTCAAACAAGTCTGTTTTCAGTTCTCTTTCCTAACATTTGTGCCGTATTTCAAAGAATGACTGGCATCTCTATCCTCAATCATGCGGCTAATAAATTTTTCCTCGATGTCCTAGAGAAATTATTCAACGACAGGCAGAAAGGCAATAAATCGGTAAAGCGGCACATCGTTCACTCGCGTTGTTAATTGAGCCGTGTTTATTTGCAGAAGTACAACGACTTCTTCCAAATACTACTGAGCTCGTTCCGAGAGAGTAGCAGCAATAGAGAAAAGGATAGCGAAATTGAGTTCGATCTTGGCAGTAGTACCAAGAGTCTCAGCAAAGGCGACATCCTTGGGCAGGTAGGAGCTTACTACAACCAAATTATTGATTTCATTGGAAACGACTTGAATTTCGAATATAGGAAAAAACGCGGTGTTCGAGAGAAAATCACACTTGGCCTTGCATAATTTTTGGGCCTCAAGGTTCAATGGGAAAGATTTTTTTCTTTCTTAAGTGGGTCAAATCCACCGCACTGCCCACTGCTTTTATTTAACGTCACCAACTTTTTATTAAAGGACGAATTCACGATGAAAAAGCAACCCATTTCAAATTAACCTAGGGATGGTGAGTGGTACACGAAAGAAGGAAGAACCATGAGAAACGGCCCAGAACCCGAGAAATGGGACCCCTTCCTTGCCCGTTGATTTGAGCATTGATGCGACTCTCATCGCTGTGCCCTCTTCAACACTACGCTCTCTCACTATCTAATCACTCGCCACGTATAGACCTGCGGCGAGTGATCAGATGATCGGTGGGCGTGCACTGGCCCACCGCGCCAAGATTGAGCCTTAATAGGTCGCCGAGGTCAACTCCTTTCGGTGCCAATTGCGCTTCAGTCCGCACCCTTAGGAGGTCCGCGGGTCCCTCAACTAGGTGAATTACTCCTTCTTCGACCTTCATTCTAATCGTGAATTCGTCCTTTAAGGCATGTTTTGCTGCGGCCTTGATTTCACTTACGTCCTCTTGGCGACGTTCCTTCACCTGCTAGACTTTTCAGACTCGCACACCACAGGCTTCGAAGCCTAGCATGTTGCTCAGATTCTTCTCTTGCAAAATTCTCCTCAGCACGTGCTCAGAACTTCGTATTGCTGCTGTCTCACTTTCATTTATAAAGGAGAGTCTGCATGACGACTACGAGGTCCTCATTCGTGACTTTTTTAGGCTCCACTCGCAGAGTCATCTGAGCATTCTCAAATTAACGCAGCGAAGCCCGTCCTATCTATTCATTGGCCGCCGTAAGGCATCATTGAGTAGTTACTACGTACGTACTTGTACGCTCCTGCCAGCAAAGAAAGCCAAGATGTGGTTCTGGATCCATGAGGACTGGAATCAGAGTCAACCCTGCGTTGCGCAGTTTTCAACGGCCACGTTGCGCAGTTTCGCCCGATTAGACACGTTCTCTCGCGCGAACATTCACACTCGCATGCTCGAGCCGTCTGTGTCTCCGCCCATACAGCGTGCGTTGAGGATCTCTCAACGTGCCGTTGCGAACTGCGCAACGCAGGGTTGACTCTGACTGGTATTTCGTGCCTGTGTTCGTTTATGAAGAACCGCAGCAGACAACAGCAGCTTAACTCAGTGGTTTCATTACTGACCTGAAACTGGATCGGATTCATAAACAAAAATTCGCAGACAGAGTTTACAACTGAAATACCAAGCGATGTACTACTACTGGCTACAAATGCACCTGCCTCGTCCTGAACTCCACGCACTTAACACATTGACGACATTGAGACGCGGTAACGCGTCTCACTTTGCGCACCTCGTTGGACATTGAGACGCGTTACCGCGTCTCACCCTTATCATCCCTTTTTCTAGGGCATGCGCAGCTTTTTCCCGAATTGTTTGTCTCTCTTCTATGGATTAGAACATAACATTATTGTGAACGACATAGGTCATTGTTTGTTCAAATATGCTCCAGTTTAGAAGAAGTTTTCCAAGCTCACCGAAACCGGCGGCTTGGTTCATTAATAGTTTTCATGCTATTCTCATGAACACGTCAATAAAAAAGGGTAGTGAAAGTAAATGCAAATCTAAAGAGACAGAAAAATACATGCTTTCACTTGGTATAACCACATCAAAAGAGCTTTTGGCATCCACTAAATCTTCCTTTTTCATTACCATTACATGTTCTTTAATCGGAACTTCGTCACTATATACTCTATTACCTTCTACGCATTGACTGTTACTGAGATGTTTTTGTACCACTGGTGCTTTAAAAAGTTATCAATAAAAATTCACGGATCCGAGGTGCGGCGGTCGCACTCGCAAAATCGGCCCGGTCCCACACGGCCAAAAAAGCCAAAACGCGCGCGGTCGTCAATGTGTTAATTCAATAATTTGAACAAATTTGGGATGCACTTTACCAACTTTTCATTCACCTTTCAAAGAGATTGTTTAGGCGTTCATGTTTGTTCTAGCTGGATTTGAGACCACTCCGGCTGCACTTCACCTCACTATTTACATGCTTGCTGCCCATGAGGCTTACCAAAAACGTTGCAGAGAGGAGATTGAACATATATGTGGAACAGAGGTAGCAAAAAATTAATTTGTGTATTTTTCGCTCCAAACTAATACCGGCTAATGTCCCAGAGGTCTTTATTTTCAGAGCGATATCACCTACGCAATGTTGAGCGAGATGAAATATGTGGATCAGTGCATATCTGAAACATTACGTATGTACCCACCAGTTGTTAGGTTAGCTTTGACTGTACCATATGCTTAGATCAAATATAAGAACAAAAACACAACAATAATGTAATAATAATATAATATAAGAATAAAGTCAAATATGAGAGTCACGTAGTTTCATGAAGCAAGAAGTCTGCAAGTGATTCACAAACGCTGTTCAGAATTACAAACCACAAAATTCAAAAACGCCTTGATTTAAAGTGCTGTTTATATAATTTGGGAATTAGACAAGAAATACGAAGAGAAGCATTAATGAAGAAAAACAAAAAGCATCACAAAAAACAGCGAAATTTTTTCTGAGTTCGACTGGTACAACCATCTACAGCGTCGTGTGAAGCAGGAAAGCGCGAGGGGGCGCAGACGGCACGTATGCTGCGATCGATAAGGATGGCAGTATGGCAACACACAAGGCAAGGCCCTGGGCCTTAGCGCCATTTTTAAGGTGCGACAGTACCATCATTCCGGTGATCAGGGTTCCTGCTACCTTTCCAAAGATCCACTCGCGATCTGTGCAGAGAGACTGTCCTGTCATAAGCGCGAGATGGCAGAGTCAATGATTTGCGCTAAACGTCGAGGCAGTGTGTCAGAACAAGTTTGATCAATGGCCCTTATAAAGATGAAGCTATGGTCATGGAAAGTGCGATAACGCGCCAAAAGGTACCTATCCTTCTCGAGCGAAAATCCTCGACGGGGTCAGCACTCCTGTACGAGGAGATGTATGGAGTACTTTGGTAAAGATTTGAAAGCGCTGATTTTCTTTGAAACGCCCTACCCGTCTTTCTGAATGGATGCTCACGATGAAGGTAGAAGTTCTCGAAACTGTAAAGACTCGCTTCGAAAACTTTCCTCGCTATTTTGCAAAAATGCAAGCTCACGTACTCTGCTGGTCTCAGAGAGTTTACAATTGTCCCTGCATTCTTCTTCATTATTTTCGGGTGAGTTTGTGGTTTGCGTCATCGCTTGAAAGTTTACGCTGTTTGCCACTTTACTCTTCCTAGAGCTGCTTCAGTTTGAAAACCTAAACTACCTGCCACGAGCGATTTCATGTTCTCCTAGTGAACCTGGCAGCATTTGTGATTTTGAAAACATTCAGGACAAATCGCCTGTGCACAAAAGAAGTAACAATCAAAGGAATTGAGATGAAGAAAGGATGTGTTTTCACTGTTCCCATAAGAGCAATTCACTACTGCAAGGACTTCTATCCAGCTCCCAATTTATTCGACCCGGACAGGTTCTCAAATTTACCATTCTTGAAATCTATTTTGGATTGATTCAGTAGCCCCAAATGTGTCGCAACATGAGATGGGTAAAATTGAAATATTCTATAAAACAGCATTTTTGAAAAAAAAATCCAAAACGTTAACAGTTCCCATGTCCGTCTTTCTTGAAACCTGGGCATTCTTCATAAGTGTTTTGTTAGTGCTGTGCCATACAGGTTTTTTATGGTGGAATATTTATTATGCCTGACGTTTCGACGATTTCGTCGTTATCAAAGGCCTGAAAGCATATCGAAACGTCTTGTGATGTTGCCGTTCCGCTCATAGCTAACCCACTCCTACTAAATGTAAGCGCGGGGGGAGCTGTTACATTTAGTAGGAGTGGGTTAGCTATGAGCGGAACGGCAACATCACAAGACGTTTCGATATGCTTTCAGGCCTTTGATAACGACGAAATCGTCGAAACGTCAGGCATAATAAATATTCCACCATAAAAAACCTGTATGGCACAGCAGTATTAAAACAAAACGTTAACGTACACTTCTAAGCATAAGCGTCACGAAATGAGGAATGCTTGGAATGAAAAGCAACCATAGGATGAGCTATGATAGCTGAGCACTTATTTTATCACTCCCATGATCTCAAAAGCTGACTTGGAAAACTACTTCTGGCAAGCAGTAACCCTCGCTATGACCAATCTCCTGGGACATTCCTCATTTGTTTTACTTTTTCTAAGCAACATTTATGTTGCACATGCTCTGGCCACGAATTTTTCATGAATAAGAGAGGGCTAACCTGAAACATTTGACGAAGCCACCCTGTGTTTGGAAAAAAAATAATCAGGCATTTGACATGTTCTTTCGCCGCTTATCAGCTTAACAGTTATCATGTCTATGTCGTTTCCGAATTCTTGTTGCAGATGGTCTAGCAGCAATCGTGCTAGTCGAGATCCATTGACATACGTACCCTTCGGCTATGGTCCAAGAAATTGCATCGGCATGCGTGTAGCCCAGATGCAGATGAAAATGGCATTGGCCCATATATTGAGGACTTATGAAGTGCGACCAGGCGAAATTTTGGTGAGCAAATAGGCTTACTTCAATTTCGAACTATTTTCCCACATCCTTAGATATATCCCTTACAAGATTCTCACCGTGTAAATATGAGCCCCTTCCAAAGCCATATATTCTACTTCTTCGTTGAAGTGTAGCTAATGGGCGGTTCATTGGGCCGCGGGAGCATGGTGGTGACCGCTTCAAAAAAGTGTTCTAGATTGAAGTTGGAAACCTGACAAACACATAGTTCAACTTCCGCGGTTGCTGTGTAACCAGGGTCAACCGTCACGCTGGATAAATTTTGAAAAATTTACGACCCCAACAAATGGTGTGGGGGGAGGGCCTCGAAACGACCCCCTCCCCCACCATTTTTTTGTGTCTATGTGTGTATACGGATATATAAACGTGTATCCTACTCGAGAATAGCGATATAAGGATTAAATACAAAACACCATAAACAGAACTCGGATATAAGTAGAACTTCCCGCCGGGGATTGAAATTGAGCACGGGAGGGTGTTGTGACATCTAATCCTTTTGCTCCTCTGCGTCTCCTTCACAAGGCCAGACACCAGACACTAAGGCCCAAACTTTTGCCACAGGTTAAGTGGCTCACACACCCCCTGAATTGGCCCCATTCCCCCTGGCTCACGCATTCTTACTTACTACCAGGTTCCCGTCACACCAAAAGGAGTTACATGTCATACAAGCGTTGCTCTCTTATTCTTCTGAGCGGTCAAGGATCGGAGTATGTGTAATTATCAGGGTGCCGGATGAATCTTCCAATGCATTAAGGAGAACGACCAAGTTATCGTGCGATTTCTAGATTGGAACGTTCATTATCATGCAGAACCTTGATCTGAGCTTGCTCATCTTCAGGAAGAAGTATGGCGCGAATTGACATGATGACGAAATGAAAACAGCAAAGTCGGATTGAAATCGGTGGAAATTTTCGGCGCCAAAATCTGATCTTCTTCAAGTGTGCACATACTTTTGAAACAAAGAAAAAATTCATCCAAAATTTTTTTCCGAAAGTGAGGCGATATTATCTGCACTGATAGGTTATCGACTACGAGAAATCGATTGAGAAGGATTTCATAGCACGAAACCTCTTAGTTACCTTTTTAACGTGAATTGTGAGGTGTCCACATACTTTTGAAACGCACTGTATAATGACGATTTATCAATTATGCATAACTATTAAGAGAACTTTATAAATGAGCAACTTGAATTACACTTATAACAGCATGCTAGATGTAAAAAACATACGGATGGCAAGATTAGAAGCCATATGTATTGAGTATTGAAACTACGGATGATAGAATTACCACTGATTTTATACTGAACTGGACTTTTTTTTTCAAAATATTAGGCAAAAGCATAGTGATTCCAATATTTCAACAAACAATAAAGCTTAAGCAATCCTTACGGGATCAATTAGAACAGCTAATATTAGCTGTACGGGAGACTTGCTTAAGGCGAAATTCAAAAATTTGGAGACTTTTGAGTAGTAACTCAAAGAGTTCGTAGCAACCAATGTTGTTGGATGCGATTATAAAAATAAACATGTTGGCTATAACACTTCTATTCCTGATACACTGATAGCATTACCAATTATAATTTAAACATCAATTTGAAGCTTCGTGAGTCTTTCATTCCGCATGCATTTTTTTGCTTTTGGACCAATCAGTTAGTGGCATACAGTAAGCACCCAGTGACCAATCTCGGATGCTGATCATCACAATGGTTTGTATATTATTAGATGTGGAACGAAGTTTAAGATAGCCCTTCGGAACTAATTAAGAATTGTTTAATTATACATTGTCATTTGTCTTTAGTTGCCATGGAAATGCGTCCTTTTCCTTGGACGACTTTGTGTCTTAATAAACTTGATTCCAGGAACTCCCCTTGCAAATCGACTCAACAGGAAGTATGCGCACCGTGAAAGAATTGAGCATCGTTTTGAGAAAGCTCTGATATTTCAACATTTCAATTGCCATAAATGAATGTTTTTGAAGCTGGTTGCAGGACTTTCGATTGCAGATTCTATTGAAGACATGCTAACAGGCACTCTGCCTGTTACCATGCCTTCATAGAAGCAGACGCTCTAAGAGTTCGTAGTAATCAGATAACCCGACGTGGTCGGTCAGCGAGGCTATAGCTAACGGTTCTTTTTGTAACCGAGTATTACCTGCAGTTCTCTTTGCTCGTCGCATCAGGTCCTGTAGCGCTACAAATCTATTGGCTGGCTTTGCTGAACATTTTCCGAACGAGTGTCATAAAGGGGACAGTGATAAAAGAAATTTGGAAACATTCAGCCCTTTCATCCGCACGACCAGACCAACGAAATTGTCTCAAACTAACATACACAGGGTGTCCCAAAATTACTTGCGCCTATTCACTGCAATGTTTTCAAAGTTCTGGACACACAATGGCAATTGAATTTAAACATTAATTATACTAACATCATACACAACAACATGCAACAACCAGATTTCAAAATGTCCTCCACCTGCACAAATACAGGCCCGGAGTCTCTTCTTGCACCGTTCTCTCGTTGCACGCAGGTATTCCTTATCACTTCTTCCCAGGCTTCCTTTGATGCTGCTTGCAATGATTGCAGATTTGAAGATTGAGCTCGAAATGCCTTGCTTGTTAATCACGGATGGGATTAAGAGTTTAGGATCACAATTAGGGGAGCAGAAGGCTATTCCTCGCGACGACCGACTCGCCAGCTCGCAGCTCCCACCTATCTTGAACGGGACTAACTCCGTAGGCTGAAGTGCTGAAAGGCACCCGGCTTGCTTATTAGGTGGAAACTGGACCAAGGCCTCAATAGGTTCCACAGTATGCACGTCCTTGCTGATATTCACACATGAATTGGCGAAGACCATCGCCGCGACTCACCTCCAAACCTTTGCTGATGCCGGGTTGGCCGCTCGCCGAACAGTCTTTCCTCGTGGCACTCTTCTCCCGATAGTTCCAGTAAGAATGTGATCGTTGTGTCGAGAGTTGCGTATGCCAGTGAGACGCGCTAGCGACCTTCCAACTTTTTGACCTCTCTGCTGCTTGTTGCTGTACGGAAAGAACTGGCACTTCTGCATGTGATAGAATTGGCAATGCAGCTTTTCCTTGACAATGCGCCCCATCGATGACTTCGATACATTCAGCGGCCTCTCCAATCTTCTGATGGAGCACCGTGAATTGCTAACCCCATTTTAATCATTCTCTCCGTGGGGACGCTGAACACTCTAACTCGCCCAGGCTTGTTAATGAATGTTCGTACTGTCCTGCATCGTTTGACGACCACCTAAGCAGTCTTTAGAGGGAACACAAGAATCAGTTGATGTCCTTCGATGCAGTCCCTTCCTCATGCATGTGACTGATCGCAGGTCGCATTGGATCACCTCTTGCCATCTCAGAGATACTGGCAGTTTTACCACAATAGCGATGCAGCTTCCAAGAGAACATATCTTACTAATTGGCAGCGCGAAAAATGCAACTACCTAGTACCTTGTACCTTTTCTAGCGATTATTCAAATTTTGGCGCAAGTAATTTTGGGATACACTGGAATACAAAAAATGAAGGATAGAATGCAACATGCGAAATATTTTCACAAAATCAGGAATCATAATTGAAAAAAAATGGAATTCTTCGGAGGAATGGAGCGTCAAAAGTTTGGAAATATATTGTTCCCATCACCGTTATGATCCACAGTTTTTGCACATTTTTGTTAATTGTAGCTCATCGTTTGAATATTGTGCAACATTCATGTAGAAAAGTTATAGAATAGGTTTCCTGAAACCTGTACCCCTGAATAGAGGAAGGACTTGTTCCTTGGTCAATCTCTACGGAAGCGCTATTACTGAGATTTTGTAGCATTATCAGAGTCCAAAAAACATAAAGTGATCGTACCTCTATAAACAGCCTCTTAAGGAGAACGAACTTTCTTACGATTCCCGAAGAGTGGTTGACTCGCCTTGTCCTGCTGACATCTCCAACCAAGAAATGACCTTTTCGGGTTTCCTTTCAGCCATATGGGAATCAAAGACCTTCTGATTTTCTGATCAATACAATGCCAATAAAACACGATGCTGTCATAGATTCATACATTTACCTTACAAAATACTGTTTTAGCATGTGGATTCTAGTGCTATAAATTGAATTCGCTTTGGGATCAAGGAGTTTCCAAAGTTTTTACGCCTTCTTTCTGAAAAAAATCATACTTTTCAATTACGATTTCCGGCTTTGGTCAATTATGATACCTTTTATATTCCACATATCCTTTTGTACGTTATATAGATTTGATGCAATTTCGCTGGTTGGCTGCGAAAGCGCAAAGACAATAATTTCGAGTTTTTCAACCGTTACTGTAATTGTCGTAACATATAAGTTATGTGGATTTTATGAACAGGAAAGAAATAGTTGGAAAAATCAAATACCACAAGTTGCGATCTATTGTGCACCACCAAAAATGGCAATTAGCCTCTAAAAGTTCTTGAAAAACTGTTTTATTGAGTATCCTACTATATATATCCGCTAAGCGGTTGCGCGTGTGTGTGTGTGTGTGTGTGTCTGTCTGACCGGAAATTCATAACTTCACTCCCTTTGGACCCAGAGCGCTCAAACTTCTAGGATATATAGGGGGCCGGAGTGAACACTGATGATGGGTGGCGGGAAGTGATAACTACTGATAGGAGCTGATAACGGACGTCGAATGTTGATGTCACCAATTTCGTTACGCCGTTCGCGTTGGCAGTGGATTGCTAGCACTCATGAATATTGTGTAGGGTAGGACTGGGACCCAAATGGTGAGCGAAGGAAAGTGATAGCAAATGATAAGGGCTGATAAGGGGCATCGGAATGCTAACGTCGTCAGTTTCGCAACGCCCTTCGCATTGACCCTAGGATGTTCGCACTCATGAATATTATGTGGGGTGAGGCAGGGACCAAGAAGGGTGATTGGAAGAAGGTGGTAGCAACTGATAAGAACTGATAAGGGGCGTCGAAGTGTGGATACCA